GTGAACAACACGGAAGAGCCAATAAGATGGTTAGCCAATAATCATGACACTTTAGATGGATCAATACCAACATTTTCTACCTGAAAAGTGCTTTATTTTTAAGTAACAGGGTTAGGGTTACGGTTAGGGTTAGTGTTAGGGTTAGGGTTACAGGGTTAGGGTTGGGATAAGGGTTAGGGTTGGGATAAGGGTTAGGGTTGGGATTATGTTTAGGGTTAAGATTAGGGTTTTAGTTAAAGTTAATGTTAGGGAAGGGAATAGGGCCAGGAATAGGATTATGATTGGGGTTGGGGTTAGGGTTAAATTTAAGAGTAGGACGAGCATTTAAAAAACATATTATTTTATTTCCCCAGCCAACAGGTTCACAAAATTAGTAGTTAGCTCCACTAGAAATATGACACAAGGTATTGATTTTAGCAGCTTTTTTTTGTTGGCCATCTATGGGTATCAATGGTGAGGGAATTAAGATCAAAGTGCTGACCTGTCCGCTGGGAAGTAAGATTACCATAAGACCTGTACATACATTGAGGTCAGACCTTATGATGACGTTATGTAAGCCATTTTTGTTTTTCGGTTTGGTTCCTATTGTAATAGATTACAATAAATTGTAGTTTCGATAAACTTTCGTTAAATAGTGACGATTAATTCTTTCTCGGAACTGCACTGACATATCACGCTTTTTTCACCCCAAGGCCACTTCGTGCTAAAATAGACTGTGACATGTCACTTGTGAGTCATTACTTACTGTCTTTATAGGGTTTGCGTGAGCTGGTCAAACGAACTATGTACAAATCTGCTTTGTTTCATCACGAACAAAAAATCTGCTTTGTTTCATCACGAACAAAAAATCTGCTTTGTTTCAACGTACCGGTAACTTCAAAGACTTTAACTTAAATGACGTTTTCTGTCACTAAGTTCTCTTTAAGGTAAAAAAAAAAAGGTGTATTGTCATTGTCTCTTAGCTTAGCGACGGGGTCAGTCATCCCTAGTGGCGATCTTTTTTTATGTAAGTTTAATATAGCTGATTATTTTTTCAACTTGAAGATTAAGAAAGAAAAAAGCAACAACAGTCTAGTAGTATGCATTTGAAGACTGCATTAGAAAAATGGTATACGTCATTGGATGCCTGATGAAGACTACTGCCTTTATTTAGACAACTGCCTTTCTTTCACGTGTTTATATATAGACTATTGTCGTTCTTTCACGTATTGATATAGACTTCTGTTTATATGTTTATATAGACTAACACCTTTCTTTAAACTACTAGCTTTCTTTCTCGATTTATATAGACTACTGCCTTTATTTTACATGTTTATATAGACTAACACCTTTCTTTAAATTACTAGCTTTATTTCACGCATTTATATAGACTACTGCCTTTCTTTCCACGAACGACTGCTTTAAATAAATGTTCCTAGAAAGTGAATCCAGTCGTTTCTGATAAAACTGGTAAGTATGGACAAAATGGAACAAATAAACAACAGATCAAAACAGACAAACGGAAAAATAAAAAAAATTGTGACCAATACCAATTATCCCCCGTACCTCCCGTTTGCATTGATGTAAGAAAAGCCAAAAATATAGGCAGATTGTTTGATAATTTTGGTGGCTGCAAAGTTTCTCATGTATCATATTCATATAGTATTGGACGTAGACCGATGTTGGCGATTTGATTGCTTTTGAGGAACATACTTTGTAACGGTTTCCTCCAATATTTCTCCAAGACACAGTGTCGCATTTGATCGTTTTGTAAAAACAGCTAAACTATTCACTTGTCTTAAGGATATTTTAAGATCTGTTAATTAGCCTCAATGAAATGAACTTCTTTGCATCTTTAATATTCCATGTCATAAATAGTGGATGTTTTTTTCGATTTGAGCCACTCTTTAATAATATTTTAAACTTTGATGTGATTTTCATGTCGTTTTAATACCTTGAATAAGTTGTGATGTATGTTACTACTTAAGCTCTTCAGAATAAAACGTGTATGGTTTTTTTTTGTGTGTTTAACGCGCTAGCAACTGAATAAGACCATGTAACTTAATATAAGCACGAGGGGCACATTAGACATTTTTCATTTGGTAGGAAATTTTGAATTTTGCTCGGGTGGCGTTTGAAGCCTACTTCTATCGATTTTCGGACCACGAAGGGATCTTTAACGTGCGCAACTTGCACACGGGACCTCCGAGACTTTTCGCCCGTATCCGAGAAGGCTAGGTGTTGGATCATACCTACTATAAGATCTGGGGTGTGTCTGAAAGACAGCAGTGAAAAGGAGTTGAGGAATAGCAGTAGAAAAACTGCAGAAATTCAGGAGCCCTGAGGACGGGCCAAAGGCGATGGGGGAGGGGGGCAGGAGACGAAAGCAGACGACGGAACATGGTTAGAGAGCAGGAAAGGAAGTGCAAGGAGAACATTTTAGAGAAGAAAATTTTGCGTCTCTGTCCGGATTCGAACCCGGTACCTATTGAATGAGAGGCAAGCACCATAACCTCTAGATCACGAGATGCCCCTATAAAATATGTAAGCTGTATTGTAGTCAGTAGCTCGAATTTAAGAGGGAGTTGTTCTTTTATCGAATTGTTAAAATTGAGTGTGAGCTGTATTGTTCATTAATTGTTTATGATAAATGGTGATCCGTGTTACTACTGAATTGTTTAGAGTTAGTTGTTAGCCTTATTGCTACTAAAAAGTTTAAAATTGACGATGAGTTGTATTTTAATTCAATAATTAATTAAGAATTAGATGTGAGTTGTACTATTACCACATTGGTTTAGATTTTAATGTGAGTTGTAGCTATCTTAAACCTAATATTATAGAATTACTTTTGAGCTGTATTACTACTTACTATACTTGATTGATATTATCTGTATGGCATTCATGAGCTGTGTATCTTCTTTTGAGTAATATCGCTCATATTTTGATGTTTTATTGTTTGCACTAACATAAAGAGTGAGTGCATGTACCAGATTCTGCTTCATATTAATCATATGGACCACTGACTGTCATCATGACTCATTGACTGGTATCATAGTATCCAAGACTGTGCACTCTGGCGTAATTCCGATTGATCTTGGAGCGTGTCATTTAACTCTATGTTGGATCAAATAAAGGGGAGGGAGTAAAAGATTGCCCACGCACTTAACTATTGCGAGACTGGTGTTTCGCTCTTCCTTTGCTCACCCTTGGGGCGCACTAGCATCAGTACAGTCTTTATAGAGAGCGGCAGCCATGACAGTGCCCGGTTTTTGATATTATAATTCAGGTGTATACTATGAACTTGAGGGTGCGGTGGCGGCTCAGAAGCGGAAAGTCCGGGTTCGAGCCTCGGTTTGGACACGGATTTTTTTCGCCCCCTCCTGCCCACCCAGCAGTAATGGGTACCTGACTTCGAGTTGGAGAAGTAAAGGCGGCGTGGAAAGGAACTGGCCACCCTACCACAATATGCCGAAGGCCCAGGAAGTTGTCTCACTAACAAGGCAATCCCCAATATCCGGATCGGATGCGGGAACAAGTTTACTTTTACTATGATTGTATCTCTTTTATTCAAATAAATATTTCTTCTGCTCATAAATTTGTTGTTGCTCTTCTTGGAGGAAAATAAAACCTGGCAAAACTGACACGAGGTATGAAATCGAGATAACTGAACTCAGGGAGGGAAACATGTAAAATGAATTATGGTTAAGAAATTAGATGTGAAAAAATAGAAAACAGATATCAAGAAAATCAAACTCCATGTTCAAGAAATATAATTTACCTCTGAAAAGTGTTCAGGTTTCGTGGTGTGACCGGTCCGTTCTGGTTTCAGGATAAGAACAGTAAAACCACGACGGTCACATCACATAAAAATAATAATAATAATAATAATAATAATAATAATAATAATAATAATAATAATAATAACAATAATAATAATAAAATAGTAATAGATAGCATTTGTATAGCGCAAATCCCCGCTCAACAGCAAGCTCTATGCGCTTCACAATCTATACTATTACTCCAGCAGACCTGAGAGCATTCTGAAGCAATCTCAACCTCCTGGGAAGCATACAGTGCAAGCAGCCATTTATAGGCGCTAAAACACTAACATACTGACAAGATCTTTCGTTGTCCATGGCCAGGTACCCATTCCCACCTGGGTGAAGAGAGGAAAATTTGTGTAAAGTGCCTTTCCCAAGGACACAACGTCGAGCCCGCGGCTCGCATCCCCGAACCCGCACCACAACCTCACGATTACGAGTCCGGTAGCCTAACCACTAGGCCACCGACGACACATAATGTGTATCTCACCGAGCTGAGAAAGTTAAGAAGTTTGGGAAGGAGAAGGTGTTATGCTGTTGAGGAGGCCTAGTTCCAGTGGGATGGGGCCACACGCCACACACCAAAAGTGGCCCTTGCATGGCTGAAAGAAAGGTTTGGGCCTGAAAAGCTGAAAGCTTACAAATAAATGGTCTCCGCATTTCCCCGACTTGAACCTCTTAAGTTATTTCCGTTGAGGTTTTCGCACAGACAGAATATACGGAAAAGTGTGTGTATGTGTGTGTGTGTGTGTGTGTGTGTGTGTGTGTGTGTGTGTGTGTGTGTGTTTGTGTACGTGTGCGTGCGTGTACGTGTGAGAAGATATGTAAATGACTGTGCACGACATATATATGTGTGCAGGTGTCCACTCCTCTGGGTTCCTGACTCGTTCTGCAGCCTTTCTACTGCTATTCCTTGGCTCCTTCTTACTGCTGTCTTTCAACCATACCCCTGATCTTCTGGTAGGAAAGATCTACACCTAGCCTTCTCGGACAAGGGCGAAAAATCCCAGAGGGCCCTTGTGCAAGTTGCCCATGTTAAAGATCCCTTGGAGATATAAAATCGATAAGAGTAGGCTTCAGCCGCATCCCGGGCAATATTCAAAATTTCCTACCAACTGAAAAAAATTGTTTTTTTTCACGCGCTCATATGGCCGTATGCAGTTGTAAGTTCCGTAAAACACTTACAACCCCCTTGGAAAAAAACAAAAAAACAACTACCCCTCCCCCTTAAACAACAAAACAGTCGAGTCCCCTTATAACGAGTCCTGAAATAACGAGACCTCTGTTATAATGACGCTATTCTAAAACCTTGTTTTTTTCCCTTCTTTATCTTTGTGAATGAAATACTGCTATATTGCAATCAGACAAACACTCGAGTCGGTTATAGCGGAATATTGGCCGATTATACATATAAAACCTAGCCAGTTATGAAACATGTTAGTGATCTAGCGAGTCAAAGAATGGGAGAGCCCACGTGTGCCAACAATGAAGGCCGGAGTGAATGAGTGGGGAGGGTGTAGCAAGCATAAAACAAACAGAACACATCGTGTGATAGGCCAGCCTAGTCTAGATTATCTAGGCCTACCATGTCTCTCACTTCTCCGATACGAGGAAGGAGAGGTCAACGTGCTGTGATGAATGGACCGAATGTGTGACGTGTGCAAGCAGACAGAACGCATCACAGGGTGTGGTGGGGTGGGGGACTATACAGAGGGCGAGTTAGCCAAGAGCCCTTTCTTTCTGATCGCCAATACACAGCTGTCAACATTGCTAGCGCTAGAGAAAGAAACCTGATTCGATTATAGATCAAGTAAGACCTTGAGGTCATGTTGAACAAAATCATCATCAGGGGAGATAACGAAAAGAAATAAATAGAACACTAAACTCATAGATTAGGCCTTCTTTATTATTTCCTTTGAATATATTACAAGATCCCTTATAACAAAAATCCTTCTATAACGGACATTTTGCACAAGCCCCCTCCCTTTCGTTATAACAGGATTCCATTGTATTATTTTGAGTGAGTGGGTGTTTGTTTCCTGGGGCCTTGTACGTTCGTATGTGTGTGAATATGTGTGGATGGGTGTGTGTATGAGTATGTGTGCATGTGCGAGCGCGTGTGCATATGTGTGTGTGTGTGTGTGTGTGTGTGTGTGTGTGTGTGTGTGTGAACATGTTCTATCACTGTTTCTCTTTCCTTCAAACAAACAAACAAACAAACAAACAAACAAACAAACAAACAAACTTGATCCCTAAACACGTTAATATCTCAACAAACTAAACGCTATTATCATCATCAAAACGTAGAGCATTCACTCGGAGTCATTAAACAATCACTGAACGAACGGCCGTATTTTCATCTCACTAAACGTGACAGATTTGGAGTACGTTGTAACAGCTTTCCAGTTCAAGCCCATCGAGGACTCAGTGCTTCCCCAGTCCCCGTTCAAGTTGACTCTATGGCAAGAGTTGTACCACCAAGCCCCGTGATAGGTGCTGGCGCAGTTGCTACTAGATTTATCGTTGTCACGGTCCTTGGTGGTGAACTCATGGCCGTTGTGATAGTCCATGTTGTCCTCCATGTTACCCGAAAATCCAGAAATATGAATTTTATAGTTTTCAGATTCTCCCGAGAGGGAAAAGTTGTCGTATTTTGCGTGGTAGTCGGTTCCTTGGAAAGAGAAGTCGATTCTAAGTTCGTGTCTTTCCTGGAGATGAGAGAGAAAAAGAGAGAGAGGGGAAATTAGATTAGAAGAAGAAGAAGAAGAAGAAGAAGAAGAAGAAGAAGAAGAAGAAGAAGAAGAACAACAACAACAACAACAACAACAACAACAACAACAACAACAACAACAGCAGCAATGATACAGATAATTTCTATTGCGCCCACCATCGTACAATACAGCTTTAGGCGCTTTACAATATGAAATCTTGGAGAATGAAGGTGCAAACACACGCTCCTTTAGATCAACGCAAATACGTAAGAAGACATTCATTATAGTACTATCACAGCATAAATATTTTCAAGAGGAACACTATTAAGTAGGCATTGACATCTATAATAGTAAAGGCCATTGGTAACGGCGCACTGTGGGGGGGGGGGGTTCATCAAAGAGGCTATAAATAGCACAAGAGCTCGTGGCAGTGACGTCACCGAGGTAAACAAACGGGGTTTGCGGGTGTCCACTCTTGGGGGCTGACCGTTGAGGGCATGAACCAGCACGGTCCAAAAGACAGGCGAGTACTTTTCGAGACTCACGTACGAGGAGTGAGGAGACGTTTATAACTTGTTCACGTTCGTTTTTACAGCGGTTAAAACGAGATAAAAGTCAAGCCTCAGTGTTTAACCATGTCATATTTTTTTGTATAAGGTCTAAAAGTTGGATGACCAACAGAATCTAAAAGCCCATTGATGAAGATCACTACAAACTAAGGTTCCGACACTTATTCTTTGATGTGAGCCCAGACCGGGTCAAAAGAATAATAGGAGATTCACAGCATACATATAAAACATTAAAAAGTTAACATATTATTTTCAGCAATAACTTCGTACGACTGAGAAATACGGTCAAACAGACGTGTGAATGTGAGTAATTTTCGAGACTCACTTGGAGACGTCTAGACAGTCGGGGGATGAAATCTACCAACTTACACTGGAATGTGTGTGTGTGTGTGTGTGTGTGTGTGTGTGTGTGTGTGTGTGTGTGTGTGTGTGTGTGTGTGTGTGTGTGTGTGTGTGTGTATCTGTGTGTGTGTAAGGGCTGGCAGGGTGGAATCCCTGTCTCCAAATTGAGCAATTTTTTGTCTAGGTTGCTGTAAACAATATTTATTTTAGTGATGCTGTGTATGCATCCAAAGGGTTGTCTTTTGATTTAGCGTCCAAATAGAGACACGGTTTTATTACTAGATCAATATTTTGAACAAAAATTGTTTGACTGCTGGCCTACAGTTGAGCCATGCAAAGTTTCGGGGGCATAGCTCAATTATTTTTTTTGTTTGAAAAAAGGTAGAAGTTAAAAAAAAATAATAACGACATACAAAAGCGAACAAGCTATAGAAGTTCTTGGGAGGAAATCTAGAAGCTTGCATTGAAATGAGCGGACATGACATTGCGGTGTCTAATATACTAGAGCTCGTGGGGAGCGGGCTTGGAGCTCAGATTGTTCAGGTAAAAGGGGGCGCGTAGGCAATGCAGTTGAGGACAAGAAGAAGGCCCCCATATCCTACACGCATGGCGTCACTGTCTCGAGCTCTAGTACTATAAAATAACCTTTTTGGGTGTTCGTTGCTGTAACATTTCCGGAATGATAAAAACATTTTTTGGTAAGTGTTTTACGGCGCTCGCAACTGCATAAGGTCATATGAGCGCGCGGGACACACCAAACATTTTCATTGGGTAGGAAATTTTGAATTTTGCCCGGGTGGCGGCCGAAGCCTACTATTATCGATTTTAGACCACCAAGGGATCTTTAACGTGCGCACATAGCACACGGGACCTCCGAGATTTTTAGCCCTTGTACCCGAGAAGGCTAGGTGTAGATCTTTCCTACCAGAAGATCAGGGGCGTGGCTGGAAGACAGCAGTAAGGAGCCAAAGAGTAGCGGTAGAAAGGCTGAAGAAAGAGTCAGGGGCCCAGATGAGGAGGTAAAGGCTGTGACGGGGGG